CTATATTCACCCAAAACAACAACGAATCTGAAACAAAAGTAACCGTCCGATCTAAACGACCTGCGTATTTGGAAATCAAGTCTTATCTCCCTTGCATTTCCGATCGAGAGAAAGTCGGGCCAATCTACCATGATTGTTTGTTTATCATCAATTCAACCAAGCTGTTAGATAGGTTGTTTATTAGAGGTGACCGGGAACCAAAATTTGGAACGTGAAACGGTGATAACAAGTCATTGAAAATGACACAGTCCCCGTTAAGTTCTCTTTGTGCTCGTCATATTAAAGCGGAGGGGTTGTCGCGAGTGTGTCCTTGAAACTTGAGTTCCAAGTGGCGTATACAACAGATTGTTTATTTACATCAAAACACGTGTTTCGTGTCATAGTAATATGGCCAAAATAAAAACAGCCGTTATTCGGCCATCTTTGATCTGATTATGAAACACACTGATATGTATGATGTGCCAAATACGAATGAAAATGGTACATAAATTGTGGAAATATAGTAGTAAGGACAAAAAGTCAGATGGCTGTCAATCGGCCATCCTTGACCAGATTTTGAAACAAATTGTCATGGACATGCATCCTAACATGTATAAAGTACATGTATGTGCCAAATTTGAATGAAAACTGACAGAGCACGTCCAAGATACCGCATAACAAAACAAAAACAAGATGCCTGCCAGTCGACCATCTTTGATCCAATTGTGAAATAAATCGTCATGGACATGTATCCTAACATGTATAATCTATGTACCAAGTTTGAATGACAACTGACAAAGCATGTCCAAAGTACAACATTCAAAAAACAAGATGGCTGCCAGTCGGCCATTTTGAATCGAATCGCTAAACTACTGCATGTGCATATGTCCAACATAAGGTACTAGGCACATGCAAAGAATGAACGGAATCGGTCAATAGGATTCTAAAATATGACGGACAGACTGACGCACGGACAGACGGACACACGGACGGACGGACGGTCGGACGGACGGACAGACTCAGGAACTCACGGACGGTCGGGGACATGTATCCTAACATGTATTATCTATGTACTAAATTTGAATGAAAACTGACAAAGCATGTCCAAAATATTACATTTTCAAAAAACAAGATGGCTGCCAGTCGGCCATCTTTGATCCAATTGTGAAATAAATCATCATGGACATGTATCCTAACATGTATTTTCTATGTACCAAGTTTGAAAGAAAACTGACAAAGCATGTCCAAAATACAACATTTTCAAAAAACAAGATGGCTGCCAGTCGGCCATTTTGAATCAAATCGCTAAACCACTGCATGTGCATATGTCCCACATAAAGTACTAGACACATGCAAAGAATGAACGGAATCGGTCCAAGGGATTCTGAGATATGACTCCGGACGGACGCACGGACGCGCAGACGCACGGACGCACGGACACACGGACACACGGACGGACGGAGACCGAATTATAAGTCCCCGTTTTCGGACTTCGTCCGAACGGGGACTAATAACCAAGGGGTGAAAGACTTTTTACATCAGCGATAGCGACGCGATTGATTCCGGGACACGCAGTGATCAGTGAGGCCTCAAAAGGTGCCAATAGTCTAATAATGTCTAATAAAATCTAAGTTTTTCTCCGATATTATCGGATAATTATCGTCTAATAAAATCTAATGAAATGTTGGCATCACTAACACGTGTTAGACAACCATGTGTGGGCAACTATTGGGGAAGATATTTTTATCCGATATTATCGATAATGTTGAAAAACGAACTGTCCCAATAGTTGCCCAGACAAGCATGTCTAATTTAGGCATTATTAGACGATATCGATAATATCGAAGAAAAACAAACTACCCCAATAGTTGCCTAAAAATGGCTTGTCTAATTTATACATTTTTAGACGATAATATTGATAACGTTAAAAAGTTAAATGTCGCACCTTCATCAAATATGTTGTATTTTATACCTACATTTTGAATTCTTCCATTGAAATTATGTTCAGGCAGAAAATTGGGAAACTTTCTCATGGGTCATACTTAAATGTTTTGTAAATGGAAAGTTACACCAAAAATATTGCATAGTGACACCATTTGTTTTACTTGATTATAGATTCCCGGGGAACATATACCGGAATCTGCCGTAAATTCGCCCATCCGAAAAATCGCCCTGGGCTGTTTCACGGATGGTGGGCCCTTATTTGGGGTTCAAATTGTCAAAAAATGATCATTAAATATTTTACGGGGGCCTATGCCGATTATCAACACCGGCAGTTGGTCCACCCAAAACAAAAGACGCTATTCACGTTGCAATTTATTAAATTTTATACATGCTCTTCTTGCTGGATTAAAAAGTAGACCGCGCATTTTTCGCCCAAAAAAATCTCATTAACGAACCTCGTGCGCCAAATACAATTATTTTGTTTCATTTTATAACGAAAGTATATTCTAAAACAAGTTTCAAATAAAAACGAACCCAACTGCATTACTTAGTAGCAAATGTTCGCGGTAGCGCAATCCGGTCATACTGCATTTCACGATTGCTGATTATTACCTAATAATAATTAAAATAAGCGAATAATTCCGTTCGCATTTTCAACACTCGATGCTGTAAAAATATTCACCATGTTTTGACCTGGACGGTGTTCTTTGACCTGACACATCAAATTGATAATTAACCAATGAAAACGGTGGATGATGCCAACGTGTTCAAATTACCATAGCTCATGTGAATATGTTAATGTTATTGAACGCAGCACTGATGAGATTTGCCGATGTGGTTGTACGATCTTTTTGCTTGGATTTTGATAGGAAAGGTACATGATTTGTTGTTAAATAAAAGAAATAGTTAAACTGAGCATTTGAAGAATAATTTAACATTGTTTACAGCAATAACAGCTCATTGTCGAAACGAAGCTATCCATTCACGCTAGTCGCAATAAACATCAATACTCTTGATTATAACACATCACTCGTTAATACTGTACTGTAATTGGTCAAACAGGATCACGTGTTATCGGCTAAATTACCATAGTAGCGCCAGGAAAATTACTAGTTCCCTACAGAG